AAGGAGGAAAGACAATCAAATGGATACAAAAGTCTTTTCAACAAATTGTGCTGAAACCGTAGGGTATCCGCATATAAGAAAAAGAAAAAAAGAATCTAGACAAAGACCTTATGTGCTTAACAATATTAACTCAAAATGAATTATAAACCTAAATATAAAATGCAAAACCGTAAAACTCTTAGAACAGGAGAAGAAAAAAATGATGAACTTGGATTTGAAAATAAATTAATAATACCAAAAGCACTATCCACAAAAGAAAGCATTGATAAACCAAACCTCAATAACTTTTTTTCTTCCATGTAAGACACTTTCAAGAATGAAAAGATAAGCCACAGAATAGGTGAAGATATTTGCAAAAGATGTCTGATAAGGACTGTTATTCAAAGTATGCTAAGAACTCTTAGGACCCAACAATAAGATGACAAAAAATTAATGGGCCAGAGACCTAGCAGAGTGTCTGCTGCTGCTGGAACACAGTCACAGTGAGTCTCCTTTCCAGCCAAGAGTGTTCCCACCTGGGGAACAAGAGCATGGCCACCACATCTCTCCTCCCTTGTGGCAAGGGCCCAAACCACTGTCTTTGAGTGGTCAGCTCTATAGTTTCTGAGGCACTGGCAGATAACTTGTGGCTGCCCAGGATGAAGTCTGCTAGTCAATAGATCAGGTAGTAGGAAAAAGCCAGGATTTGCTTTAAGGATTTCTACATTACTTGGTATTACTGTGGACTTGGCTTATTCCAGGGAATTAAATGACTGCACCAGAAGGTTTAGGAGGAGAAAAAAATTTCCTGCTGAAACGTTTCCAGTTTTGTTTTTTGAGTCTGAGAAAGGGCTACAGGTTGAATATTGTCATCTTAGATATGTACAGTAGTATATGTCACATTGTGTGTTTATGCCCTAAGCAAATGAAGCACACCTTTCAAAATCTTTAAATACCTAGTTTGATTTTTTTCCCTTTTGACTCCTTTACAGACAAAGAGTAGAATCTAAAATTTGTAAGGAAGCCATCAACAAATTTTCTTTTAATATTAAAGAAGAACTCATCAGAATGGTAAGCTTACTGACATGAATTTGTTGCTCTAAATTTTTTTAATGCTGGGGCAGCACATTGTTGTCTTAGAAAAGCTTGCACTTATTCTCAATAGGATAACAGTGCATTAGAGCTACCCACATTTTACATGCTGTTTTTAAACTAAAAACTATTATAAACTACATATGAAACTAAGTGTTTCATTCAGCTTTGTTTTGCTGTAACCAAAATACCTGACAAGAACAACTGAGAGGAGGGAAAGTTTATTTGGGGCTTATGGTTTCAGAGATCTTTGTCCATCCATGGCTGACTCCGCTGCTCTGAGCCCAGGTGAGGCAGAACAGCATGAGGGAAGTGCAGGGCCTGCTCCCTTCATGGCCGAAGGGTAGCAGAGGAAAGGGGGAGAGCAGGGGGCTGTAGGGAAGATGAACCTTTCCAGCCATGCCCCATCTGTCTAGAGGTGCCACCTAGTCATTCAATCCAGGATGGACCATTCTCAAAATCCAATCATTTCAATTTAACCTCTGACTATTCTGTATTAACCAGAGGTTTAGGGGGACACCTCATATCGAAACCATAACACTCTGTAACATTTAACTTTGGAAAAATTCATCTGCTTATTTTTTGTTTTGTGTAGCTTAAAGAAGCCCAGATGTTGAAAAATCTGAAAAGGAAGAATGCTAAGGTAAATCACTATGTGATTAGAATTATACAAACAAGCCAGGTACAGTGGCACACACCTGTAATCCCAGCAGCTCAGGACACTGAGGCAGGAGGATTGCGAGTCCAAAGCCAGCCTCAGCAAGTGTGGCCCTAAGCAACTCAATGAGACCCTGTCTCTAAATGAAATACAAAGTAAGGTTGGGGATGTGGCTCAGTGGCCAAGTGTCCCTCGGTTCAATCCCCGATATCCAAAAAAAAATATATATATCTGTCAGTATTATTTGACTATAAAGAGTTAAGTAAAGATAAGACTTTTTTTTTTAAATTTGTACAAATCTTGGAATTCGTATACAATTTTTTATCTTTTTTAGTCTTTTATTTGGTTGATCTTGTGGTTGATTAAGTTAGAGAAATGTTATGCAAGATAAAGAATGGGGATCTATGTTAGTCATCCTTCTATCACTATAGTGAAATACCTAAGATAATCAACTTAGAACAGGTTAATTTGGGCTCGTAGTTTTGGAGGTTCCAGTCCATGACTAGTTGACCTGTTGGTTTGGGGCCTGTGGTGAGGCAGCACATGATGGTGAGAGTGTGTGACAGAGCAAAACCCCATAACATCATGCCAGCGAGCACAAGAGAGCAAGCAGGGGACTGGGTTCCTACAGTTTCCTAAGGGCACACTCCAGTAACCTAAAAACTGCCCACTAAGCCACACCTAGTCTCTCTGTTTCCTGCTGCTCTTCCAGTACCTGGCACGATGTCTGTGGCAGTGTTTAAATGTTTACGTTAATTTAACAAATTATTGTATTACTTAGATGACTTCTGATATTGAAAGAAAAAGGCAGCGTCTCATTGAAGTCCAAGATGAACTTCTTCGGTAAGATAATACCAAAATCCTGGTTGAGAACTTAAAAGGACAGTAGTATAGTGTGTCATTTGGTGGAGTGTCATATTAAAAGCACCAGGTTATCTTTGAGCTCAGATGGTCATGGAAGGCAGGTTATGTTGCCTAGTTGCAGAACCAATTAGCACAAGAGAATTCAGCACTGCTCTGTTTCCCAATCTCTCTCAGCTCTGGCCCAAGACAGCCTGCTTAAGAGGTTTAATGCATAGTCTTTAGAATTAGACGGCTGGGTTTGAATCCAGTTTGTGCCATTTACTGGCTGTGCAGTGTTGGACAAGTTACTTACCTTTCCAGTATCTGAGTTTCATCTTTTTTATGTGGGCATAGTAATACCACCTGTATCTTAGCGTGTTATAGGAATTGAGTGAATCTCTAGAAAAGTGCTTCATAATGGCTAACACACATGAAGTGTTCTTTGTTACCACAGAAATGTATACCCTGGAGCGGCATTTGTGTAAATCCATACTGTTGGGCCAGAAAAACCTCACAGGCTTTGCAGGCCAAGGCAGTCCCCCAGGCTGGTTCAGAATACAGGATCACACATTTTCTGCTGCTCTTCTGAGGCCAGGACTGAGCTGGAGGCTTGAGTAAAGTAGAATCAGCTATGCTCTCTGCTTTTAAGGAGTTTTAAAATAGAGAGGGCTGGGGATGTAGCCCAGTCTCTCAAGTACACTGCTTGCCTAGTAGAAGCAAGGCCCTGGGTTTGATCCCCAAAACACACACACACACAGCCTGAGAAAGAATGTGATATTATCAGGAAAGATGTAATTAAGTACTAGGTTGGTTTTTTTATTAGTGCACCATTGTCTTACATAATTGTGAGTTCACTTTGACATATTAATAAATTCATATAACATAACTGGCCCCATTTCAGTCCCCAGTAAAGTACTGAGTTTTAAAGAAGAGAATGCCCTAAGAATTTAATAATGGACTAGTTAATAAATTTCTTCCCTTGATTTCCAAATTTTGTCTAGGGACAGGGGCTGACCCATATAAAGTTTCCATTGGCACAGCCCCAAATTAGAAACTTAAGGTAACATAATAACACTTAATAGCTTCCTCTGAGGCAGGGCACTTTCTACAAATCTATTAGTCATCATCCTATGAAGTAGGTGATGTGAATTCTGTAATGAGGCTCTGCTTTGTTGTCATGTGAGACCACTCAGACTTAAAAAGAGTTTTTATACCTTGTCTAGGTATAATTTTAGAAGTTGGAGAAGTATATTTCGAAAATATATAGTAAGAATAAGTGTAGTATATCATGTTTTTAACTTTGCATGTGAAAACCCCAAAGCACAGAGGAATAATAACACAGTCAAACCCCTAGGAAGTGGGGGAGCAAGACTCTGCTGTCAGCTGATTGTAATTCTGACTCCTGATCATAATCCTGCCAGTTCAGAAGTCAGTTTGCTGATGGGTGCTGAATTTGTTCAATGTGAAGGACTGTTAAAAAGGGTTTTTCTTTATTATTTTTAAGAGGAGGAAAAGATTATTTTGGCTCAATATCAGAGGTTCAGCCCATTGTTGGCCAACTCCATTGCTCTGGGCCCAGGGGAGGCAGAACATTGTGGTGGAAGAGTGTGGCAACTGGAAGCAGAGGACTTGACTTTTATAAAATCATAGTAGAGGACAGTTTTTTCTATATTTGGGAAAAATTAAAATTGGCAGCCTTTCCTCCTCATTTTGGCCCATAAAACCTAAATTATCCCTTATTTTATAGGTAAACAAACTAAACCACTAAGAAGTGAAGCAGTTGGTCCAAGGTCCACATTTTTCATCCAGGTACTATGATAGTTTTCCCACTAGTTTTACTAGACCTTGGAAAATGGACAGGATTTTGATAAGAAGGGGAAAGTTTTTGTCCATAGTTAAAACTACAATGCCTGGCTACTCCTGCCTGAGACTATAAAATGCCAACCAAGTTTACAGGTTAATTCATAGCTCCCAAGTCTGGACTGAATTGATGAATTTTAGCATATGTAAGGCATATTCTTCTGGGTGTCATTGTTCATTATTCATTGTATATCACAGGTCAGAGGGTTTTTCCTACAAAGAAAATTTAAACCTAGTACTCCTTTCATTTTTTTCAATTATCTTTGTCAGATCCAAAGATAAATCATCTAGTCTACCTCCCCTAATTTTTCATACTTAATGCAGTATACCTAAATACACAGTCTCATACTTTGTAGCCTGTTACACTTCACTATATGTTTATTTTGTGGAAAAATTTATTTTTGTTCTAGGTTAGAACCACAACTAAAACAACTACAAACAAAATATGATGAACTTGAGGAGAGAAAGTCATCCCTTAGGAATGCAGTGCATTTCTTATCTAATTTAAAACAGCTTTATCATGATTATTCAGTTGTTCAAGAGAAAGAACCAAACATAAAAGAAATGGTAAGTTGGATTTTTACTTTTTATTGTGCTTTAGATGATGAAGGGTATTTCCATGCTAATTAGTACTAGAAGCTTTAAGACAAATGAACAGCATAATATAAAGCAATGAAAATTTATTATATATCTTTTTTTAGCTATTCAATGAAAGCTAGAGGAGTAGAAAAATCCCAAAGCAGTAGAACATGTATAAAAATTTAAATATGATCAATTAAGTAACATATAATTATACAATGTAATGTAGTTATTATACTATACAATATATAAACTCTACAGATTCAATTTCCAACCCATTTTAATGCACCTATGTCAGTTTCACTGAAATATTTACATAACTGAAACCTGTAACTTAAAGGTTGCAATTCAAATGTTCTTAACCCATTAAGACATTTAACTGATCCTCCCAATTTTTCTAGATATTTTGGATTTTTATTATAAACTTTTATAATAAGTTTGGTGTTCTCATTCCATCAGTTCTTGCAGTAAAAAATACCTACCTTACTTTTTTTTGTGTTTTAAAATAGATATGAGATCAAACAAACCCCACCTCAGATTAGCACACTTGCCCAGAGCAGTTGTTTACCTGTCACAGGCATGATTTTGTTTTAATCTAATGCTGCAGTTCTCCTTGAACCAACTATTCATATTGGATAAATAGATCAGTTTGAGCTTTATAGAGTGGTTCCCTTGTAACTTTATATTACAGAGTGAATTAAAGCCAATTTTCTTAATGATCTTGGTTAAAAAATGAAAGAAGTAGCTATCAAAAGTTCTATCAAAAATTGTTCTATCGACATTGGTCAACTATTTAATATTTGTGAACTTATATAATTTTCTGTCTTCAACAGTATGATTCATCCAGCCTTCCAGCTCTGTTATTTAAAGCCAGAACACTTCTGGGAGCTGAAAACCATCTGCAAAATATCAATCATCAATTAGGAAAGCTCCTTGGCCAGGAATGAGAAGACCAGTCTATGAAATATTACCTACATAACACATCTCAAACTTTTTTAAAAGTATGACTTAATCACTAAAATAAATGAAACAAGTTGGTCTTAGAAGCCATAGTCATCTTTCCTGATAATAAAATGCTAATACCTTATTTTAATCAGCCCCAGATATTAAAACCCAGACATGAGTATTAATCTATAAATAAACTTTTAAAATTATGTCATTGTGAACACAGACCAATTTTGGTTAATGAGATGTCTATTGAATGAGTTTAAAAACACCAAAGCCAATTTTCAATAAAACTGGTTTACTTTAGTAAATAACAAATTGGAAGATAAAGTGATAAAAACACAATTGATATAAACAGACTTAATAAGTTAACATAATTATTTTGTGTGCAGCTGGAGATTGAACTTGGGGCCTTTGCATGCTAGACAAGCAGGCACTCTACCACTGAGCTGCACTCCGAGGCCTAATTTAATAAATCTGTTATCAAATCTCAGACTTCAGGCAAATTTTTGCCTGGATAGTAAGCACTGTCCACAGAGAGCTACTCTTGAAATACCTCAATAATTAGTTCATCGGGAATTTCATCCTCTGTACTACTATGAGAAGTAAGAAGACTATTCTCTACAGCTTCAGCTAATTCAGCATCTTCGGTTGCTTCTAAAAAGCAAGCATCATCAGTGCCATTATCCCAGTCAGCATCGGCAGATGCACCTGCTGTTGACGGGAGCTCATGAGGATTCTTGGTTTCATTGTGCCCAGTTTCATCTTCTGTAAACTCTTCTTCCTTTATTTCAATGGGGAAGAAGATAGGAAGATAAAAGTTATTTAGATGCAATATGTGACAATTTCACCATACTCTGAATCTATGTTAAGGGATGAAGTAAGGACCAGTTCTTCAACAGTTAGTACAGTGAATATGCTCGATGAACTGTCTCTAGTATAGTCATGGGATGAGTGTATTAACTCAAAGGTGTTGCCTTTGTAGCTCAGACACTCTTGAAATTCCAAATTTTAAGTTGCCTGCAGTTCCTTGACATTTTTCAATATTCCCAGACTGGGCTACAACAAAGGTCGATTTGATTTTACAACAAGTGGCTAATCCAGCTAAAGACAGATTAGAAAATATATTTGCTATCTTCACAACAGATTTATTTCTCTAATTTACAAAGTATATTAAAAATTGTAAACATGGTTTGGAAGAAAATTGTCCAAATATGTCTGGGTTGTATATTAGACAGCATATTGCATCAATGTTAAATTTCCTGAATTTAAAATTTTTTCCATAGCTATGTAAGAATGTCCTTATTCTTCATGAACATGCTTAATTAAGAAATGAAGGGTTTAAATATCTACAACTTACTCTTGAGATTCATCAAAAATAGTAATACATGTGTACATTAGAGGGAGGAAGGCAGCCAAATGTCAACAAATGGCAAATCCAGGTGAAGGTTGGGCCAGGAGAATCACTTATTTTCATGCGGTATTTGCAGGTTAGAAATTTTCTTTACTTTTTAAAATCTATAAGATAATGTTATAGAAAAGTGATAAATAACACCAATAATATAATAATTTAGAATATTTTTAAAAGATTTTAAGCAGAAATGATAAAATGCTTAAGTGATACTTATATGGGTATTCATCATATTGTTCCTTTATTATCTTAAATAATAGCCAAAATAAGTTGTGTCCAAGTAATGGTAACAACTATATATGCCAAAAGTACTTTCAACTTGTCATATTTGTGGTATTTTCAAATAAGCAGAAAAATAAATTTAAAAATCAGCTGAAACCAGTCATCAAAATAACACTCCTATCAAGGATGACATATCCCTCCTCCTCCTAAGAGACACAATTTCATTTTTTAAAATTAGTTCTTAGTTATTTATAAACACTTTCAAACCAGGCAATTTGGCAGAGTATTTGGAGGTGTTGGTTCTTTTATATCCAGCTCTTAGGATTTCCACTATTCTAAACTTGGAGACATGAGTTATTTCAGGAGATAATTTTTTAAGATAATTTTTAATTGAATAGATAATGTGGGTTTTCTAGACTATAAACTCAAGCACTTGTTCAGCTTATAGCAAGTAATTTATTCTAACCATAATGGTATAAAAGTGCTCATAGATATGACCCAGAAGACAAAGGTAAGATTTAAAAGTACAACACGACAACTGGGTATGGTGGTTCATGCCTGTAATCCCAGCAACTCAGGAGGCTAAAACAGGAGGATCACAAGTTCAAAGCCAGCCTCAGCAACTTATTAGCAAGGCCCTGAGAAATTCAATGAGACCCTGTCTCAAAAATAAAAAGGGCTCAAGATGTGGCTCAGTGGTAAAGCACTCTAGGTTCAACTTCTAATAAAATTTCTTATAAAACATTAATGTCATAGAAAAATGGACAAAGGAGAGATACGCAATTCATAATAGAAATACAAATAGTAAATATGGGAAGAGTTTGACTTCATTAACAAAGAATAGAAGGTGAACATCCAGTGTTGGGAAAGGAAAGTAGTGTTATTAGGTGTCCAATTTTTTATAGAACTCTGATTTCCTGTTTTATGGACAGCAATTTGATAACAGGTTTTGTTGAATACATTTGTGACACTTTAGGGGGAAAAAAACCCTACCAAATAGTTTGTGTATTATGACTTATAAAAATATACACGAACAGGTGTAGATACAAATTCTGGAAGATGTATGCTAAAATTTCACATCAGGTCAAATTATGAGTAGGGAAGATTTTTCTCCCCTTTGTATGTATTTTCTATTTTTCTTCTACACTGAAAATGAATCACTTGAGTAAATAAAAGACCAAAGAAAAATGCTGCTTTGGCAGTCTGATAATAGCTATCGAAACTAAAACTGTATATATTCTTTGGTGCAATTCTACTTCTAGAAATTAATCCTATAGCCATGGTTGTTCAAAGAAACAAAAAGATGGCTACTTTGGTTTACTTTTTGTAAAGTGAAAATGAGAAACTTTCGAAGCATCTGGGACTAGTTAAATAAATTGATTATATAATTTCTTATGCAGCAATGACATAAAAATTATCAGATGTGTGCTAAGATGGGAAAATCACTACACTATATTCCTAAGTGAAAACAGGTACCATTCTGTTTAAAAGGTATCTGGAGACTGCTCACTTATTCTACTATGCCACAAACCAATTAGTAATGAGAAAGATGAAAAACTGCACCTACCTGTTTGAGAAGAAACAGAAGACTGACTTCAGCAGGTAATGGAAAATCTGAATCAGAAAGACAGTCAAACTATTATACAGATATAGAAAAACTATTATAGACAGATATCTAGTTTTTACTTTATTGTTAATGAGAAAATGAACTACTCACAGTCAGATTTGAAGTTTTCTGCTTTGCACACAGGGTCATGACATTTTTGATACCAAACTTCATTTTTCAGATCAACCAGAATCCTTTATGTTTTTAAAAAAAAAAAGTATTAATAACCATATTGTATAGAAGACAGATTCAGCTATATGCTGCTTATAAGAGATATGCATGAAACAAATATGGAGAAATTTTTAAAGTAAAATAGAAAATACACACTAATCAAAAGAAAACTGGTAGTTAAAATTCACACAAAATGGACTTCAGGCAAGAATGTAGAAATCTGCAAAAGCTCCCCCCACACGACAGAATTCTTAACCCTGAATCAGCCATGTAATACAGCTTCAAAATATGTAAGCAAAGAAAAAAAACTGAAAAAACTGAGGATGAGCAAATCTAACCATAAACAATCTTCTACCAAATAAATCAATATTTTAAAAAGCATTCTGGTAATTTATAGCTCAAATACAAATAACCAAGAAAAAAAAGTTTAATAAGGACTCAAAATATTTGGAAAAAGACATCAGAATCACCCCTAATAAAATAAAATGTAGGAAGTAATAAAGTGTTAAGTAAAAGGAATGAAGGTCAAAATTGGAAGACTAATGAAATTACTGCAAGGTGAGTCAAAAAATAAGGCAGACAAATAGAAATCAAATGCAGCATATACTAAAGCTTATTAAAGAGTACTATGAATGTTTACCAGTAACTTTGAAAATTTTTGTAAAAGTACTAAATAAAAATAAATTAAGCAAAATAAATATAACAGAAATATTAAATCTTAAAATTAAATAAAATTCTCAAAAATTTAATTAAGTAGTTTAAAACATCCTGTTTTACAGAGAAGGAAATAGAATGGCTAACATTCCACATGGTGGTTGGTGGGGTAGAGGGCGGGCGGGCAAGTGGTAAGGGACTTGTACCAGGAGAAAAAAAGAAATGACTTGGTCTAATCTACTTGTTTACCTTCCAGTAACAAATTGACACAGGCTAATGCTGTAGTTTTCAAACTATACATTCAAGTACCCTGGGGCACTGTAGGATGTTTAAATCCTTCTAAGAATCAGTTACACCTGACATTTGTCAAGCATCCCAAAACCACTTGTGCTTCCATCTTCAATATTACATTGCACTTCATTCCTTTCAATGATATCCTTTGTGGAGTTGGGATTTTGGGCGGTAGTTGTGATAAAAAAGGTATCAACAACATCAATGTGGAATGATATGAGGAGGTGGTGATGGTATCTACACTCCAAGGTTTAAGAGGCTATGCAATGCCCCAAAGAACATATAATCCATTAACAAGTAATAATATTTAAGAATGAAATAAAATATCTTCTTCCAATTTATAAATATTATATAACAAACAGCAACAAAACTGTTAGGACATAATTACTAATCGAATTGTTTCAAAGTAGCTAATTAATTAACAAAACTCTTAGGTATTCCTTTTGGCCCTGGAGCAAATATGAAAAATATTACTAAAACACTAGGGCACCATAAAACAAGAAAATCTGGGCACCTCTGGACCAAATGCTAGGAGGACAGTTCTCATTTATACAATGTTCTTTGCAGGATCTTTCTGGCTTTAGGATTACATATGGTAATAAATCTAGAATCTAGGGATTAATAAGGGTTTGTTTCCCAGAAACATCACCCATGCTATGTAACTATATGAGTGTAAAATACAGATGTTTCATAACCTCAGTGCTCCCTGCTGTGTGTGGTGACTGCTCACTTCTGCCTTGGGTTTCAACCTCAAGCAGCAGTGCAAGTGCCAGCTGTTCCAGGCCTTCCTCTGCCTGGCCTATGCCTTGTAATCCCTGGTATCCCAAAAGTTAGTAAATCTTGGTATTAAATAAGATCTCTAATTTGTGTGAGATGTTTTAATAATATAATCCTCAACTTCATTAGTTACCACAGAAAACAAAATTATAACTACCAGATTAGCAAAACAAATTTTTAAAATCTCACTTTACTGAAGTGTTGGTGAGAATATGGAGCAATACAAAGTCGTAAAACACTGTTGGAAATAGTAATAAATTAGGACAACCATTTTTAGAAAACAATTTATTATCTAGTAAAATTAAACATACATACTCTATGACAGCAATTCCACTTTTAAATATATGCTTTAAGAAACTGTTGTAACATGTGTATTAGGGAATATGCATAACAATGCCCACAAATAGCCATCCAAATGTCTATTGTAAAACAACAGCTAAACCAGCACATTTATGTCTATATAATGGCATATTATAGAGTAATGAAAAAGATTTAATAGCTACATCCTGCAACATGAATGGACCTCACAAATATAATCCTGACCAAAGATCAAGTGAAAGGATGTGATCCAAAACAATGTAAAATAAAACAGTCTATTTTAGGGATATAAACATATATGGAAAAAGTCACAAAGAAAAGCAAATGAAAAATTAACATAAAATCCAGGAAAATACTATTATCTCTGAAAGCCTAAGAAAACAAGAAATGGGAGTTGGGCCCACCAGGTATTATTTTGTTATAGTTCTGTGGGTGACAGATATAACAGGTGGTCATTAAAAAAATCAGAAAAAAAAATGCCATTCATAATAGCCTCTAAAAAAAAGCCTAAGAATAATCAAGGAGGTGAAAGACTTCTACAAAGAAAACTATAGGATATTGAAAAAGAAACTGAAGAAGACACAAGAAGTTGAAAAGATCTTTCATATTCATGGAGAGACCGAATTAATGTTCTTAAAATGATCATACGACCAAAAGCACTATATAAATTCAGTGCAATTCCCATCAAAATATCAATGACATTCTTTACAGATCTAGAAAAAACAGTCCTAAACTTCATTTGCAAGAATAAAAGACCCAGAATAGTCAAAGCAATTCTAAGGCATAAAAGCCTCGCTGAAAGCATCATAATACCTGACTTTAAATTATACTACAGTAACAAAATCTGCATGGTATTGGCATAAAAACAGGCACACAGACCAATGATACAGAAAGAAGACCCAGAGACAAGCCCACACAGCTACAGTCATCTGATCCCTGACAAAGGTGCCAAAACCATACTTTGGGGGGAAAAAAACAGTATTTTTAATAAATGCAACTGGGAAAACTGGTTATCCATATATATAAGAAGGAGACCAGATCCTTCTCTCTCACCTTGTACAAAAGTCAACTCAGAACAGATCAAGACCTAGAAATTATGCAATTCCTAGAAGAAAACACTGGGTTATAATACATAGGCATTGGCAACTACTTTCTCAAGAGAACCCATAAGTTTAGGAAGTAATTCCAAGAGTTAATAAATGGGATGGGTCCAAATTATAAAAATTTTGTCTGGCAAAGGAAAAATTAAGAATGTGAAGAGGGGCTGGGATTGTGGCTCAGCAGTAGAGCGCTCACCTAGCACGTGGGAGGCCCTGGGTTTGATCCTCAGCACCACATATAAATAAATAAATAAAATAAAGATACTGTGTTCAGTTACAACAACAACAACAACAAAAAAAAAAAAAAAAATATATATATATATATATATATATATATATATATATATATAAAAGAATGTGAAGAAAGAACCTATAGAATGTCAGAAAATGAGTTAACTAGTCTCTGACAGAGACTTAATATCCAAAATATATAAAGGATATTAATACCAAAAGAATAACCCAATTAATAAATGAGAAAATAAACTAAACAAACTCTTCTCAAAAGAATACAAATGGACAACATAGGAAAAAAGGTTCAATATCGTTAGTAATTAGGTAAATGTAAATCAAAACTACACTGAGATTTCATCTCACACTAGTCAGAATGGCAGTCATCATCAAGAATACAAACAGTAGTCAGGCACAGTGGCACATACCTGTAATCCCAGCACTCGGGAGGCTGAGGCAGGAGAATCGCAAATTCTAAGCCAGCCTCAGCAAAAAGCAAGGCACTAAGCAACTCAGTGAGACTCTATGTCTCAATTAATACAAAATAGGGCTGGGGACGTGGCTTAGCGGTTGAGTGCCCCTGAGTTTAATCCCCAGTACCCGCCCACCCACTCCCCCCGCCCTGACGCCCACCCCCAAAGAATACAAACAATAATAAATGCTGGAGAGGATGTGGAGAAAAAGGAACATTTTTCCAGTTAGTGGGATTTTAAATTAGTACGACTATAAGAATCAGTGTGGATGGAGACTTAGGTCAAAAGGCTACAAATGGAACCACCATATGATTCAGCTACACCACTCCTCAGTATTCATCCTAAAGAATTAAAGTCATCATACTACAATGATATATATATATACCCATGTTTATAGCAGTACAATTCACAATAGCCAAGTTATGGAATTTGTCTTGGAGTCAAACAGATGAAGACAAAGAAAATGTGGATATATACACAATGGAGCTTTATTCAGCCATAAAGAATAAAATTATGTCATTTGCAGGAAAATGAATAAACTTGAGAATATATGTTAAGCAAAATAAGTCAAACTTAGAAAGTTAAGAGTCAAATTTTCTCTCATATGTAGAAGCTAGAGAGGAAAACAGAAAGGTGGTGGTGGGGAACCTCATGAAACTTGAAGGGAGATCAGAAGAGGAGAGGAAACAGATCAAGGGAGAAGAGGGAAAGGGAATTACTGGGGAATGATACTGGACAGATTATATTGTTATATTGTGTCCATATATGAATATGTATCAATCCTATCATTATGTACAACTATAATGTAGAAATTAAAAATATGGAATAAATAAAAAACCAAAAATAAATAAAATGTATATATTTCACAATTAAAGAACAAAATAGACATGGATACATAATACAAATTGGTATGATCAGTATATGACAATGACTTTTTTGGGTAAGTTTATATACATTAAAAAAAGACTAGAAAGATACATGAAAATGATATCTAAAATTCTCTGTAGGTTGTGGGACTATGAGTGATCTCACCTTCACGGTCTGTGTTAGTATTGTACATACAGTTTATGATGGCTTTTTAAACTGAATTAAAGCGAGTATGTCAAGGGCAGCACTGATCATGGCACCAGCACGTTTTCCAGCTCTCCAGGAAATCTTCATGATCACTTCCTCCTGTCTAGTGCATGTGCTGTACTGCAGCTTGACTACCCAGGAATCTCAGCTTTGACATTAGACATAAAACAGCAAAATTTCTCATAGCTTAACTCATTATTGGGTTTCTAGTTTATCCCTATCTAACCATATCCCATATTATTTAAAATTCTATTTCTATTTTTATGTTTCTTTTTTCCTTTTGTTGGGGGCATTTTAAAGAAAATTCCTAAAACAGGGCCTGGCATACAAAGAAAGCATTCGATAAATACCATGCTTTGTCTTGAACAAATGAACACCCCTTTTACCACCAACTTAACAGCAACTGAGGAGCTTCTCTCTTGCTCAAATCTGCCCAATTTCAATCCAGATCCATAAGGTGTCAAAAAATAATGGCAAGTGAAAAGCAGTGGCATACCTTTCCATCACTATCTGTCCACCTGTCCACTGCCTTCTTGCTTTCCCTGCTCAATCCTATTTTAGTCTTGTCAAGATTTTACTAAAGGGTTATTTTATCAAGTAGAGTATGAATAAAGCTGGTATATACTAAAAACAATGTAATAACTAAGAAATTCAAATTAAATATGATAAAACATTAACTAAATACAACAAATACAAATTTAATTACAATTTATTTTATCAGAAAACCAACATAAATTTTGTATTCAACTTTATTTAAAATTTATAAACATTTAAAATATACCATAAATTAAATACATACAACTCATTAATAAACAATATTACTCACATGATATTATTACTTTTGTGGGCTCTTCCAATGTTTTCACACCACCGGAATTTGGAAATATCATAAACCAATAATTCTTCTGGGAAAAAGTAGCTCCAGCGCCGAATTCCTAAAATGCAGAGAATGTTTCTAAAGGTACTGTTACTCTATCATATAACAATTAACAAAGAGTAAGATAAGCTTTACCTCCTTTAATGTCATTTTTATTCACCAAAGAAAGAACAAAACGATCAACTTCAGGATAGGGTGAACACTGAAAACCTTCAATGGTTTCTACTGCAACAGAGAGAATTATTATTTATAAATGGAAATAGGTAAAAGTTTAGATGTTAAACTTTGATTAAATTGTTATTTAGTACAATTATGAGTTTTGCAACCCATCAGTTTTTGGTTTTTGTTTTTGTTTTTCTTTTTTGCAATTTGCCCTCCAGTCAGTTCCTAGGTTCTTGCTTCTTACAAGAAAGCAGGTAAAATTCAACTCACTTAGGCCCAATGTTAACTAATTTTCAAACTATTAGTGTCAAAGGGTTTCTTCAGTCTGACAAAGAGAAAAGAAGCCCTTCGCTTCCAGGTACTTCCTAGTTCTACTGGCCAAGCTGCCATGAGCCGGCCTGGCTCCAGTACCTTTCTTTGCCTTGGGGTTCTGTTGAACATAAATGACTTCACAGAATTTCATCAGATAAGGTCACTCTGTGGTCATGAGGACTCAAGACAAAATTAAGCCCTCTCTGTAATCACTTGTGAACAGACAAAGTGTGAACCTTTTTCCAAACCACAAAAATGGCCAAACACCACCACATCCTGGCTAACAAATACTTCAGTCTCCCTCTCATCTATCTGCCTTCTGTCTAAATAAGACCTATTAAGGTACCAGTTGCTGAGCTGGAGTTGTAACTCAGTGGTAGAACACTTGTCTAGCACATGTGTAGCACTGGGTTCAATCCTCAGCACCACATAAAAATAAATAGATAAATAAAGGCATTGTATCCATCTACAACTAAAAAAAAAAAATTTTTTTTTTAAAAGAACCAAGCTGGGTGTAGTGGTGCACACCTGTAATCCCAGCAGCACGGGAGGCTGAGAAAGGAGGATCATGAGTTCAAAGCCAGCCTCAGCAGAAGCAAGGCACTAAGCAACTCAGTAAGACCCTGTCTCTAAATAAAATACAAAATAGGGCTGGGGGTGTTGCTCAGTGGTTAGTGCTTCTGAGTTTAATCCCCAGTACTAAAAATAAAAGATAACCGATTACTGATTTTCCAATTCAGAATAAATCCATGTTTCCTTGTATAGTCTCTAAAAACACCTAATCCATGCCCAGATTCTCTAAGTCTTTTCTTATACCCTCTTATTAAGATACCTGTAGTTCTCCACTGCTTCGAGGAAACATAAACTCAACTTGCTCAGTACAGGTGTGTTTTCTGTGTCTCTAACTAGAAGGAACTGATGACTCAATTCTACCTAAAAATCTAATGTGATCATTTTAATGTATTATTTATAATTTCATTTAATTTGCAAAGTCAGAAAGATCTATCTTTCACTTCTAAGATAAGTAATTAGAGAAATTTGGGGAAACAATTGTACAGAAATGAGGGAAACAGACTCCAAGTCAAGGTCTATATTACATGTTAAACAATCAGAAGAAAATAAATATATAAAAAGTTATCCATATTTTAACAAGCTTGTGAGCATAATATACATATATTAGAGCCTACTTTTTCTCTATCATAAATGGTTGTTTTCCACATCATAAAAACCTAAATTTAATGGTTTTATAGTATTTCACAGTATCTAATTAATCCTATTTCATTGTATATTTACATTATGTTTTCAGTTTTTCATTGTCATAAATTATGATAAACCAAAATAGTGAATAAAAAAGTTTACTGGAGGGCTGGGGGTATGGCTCAGCAGTAAAGCGCTCACCCAGCACGTGCAAGGCCCTGGGTTTGATCCTCAGCACCACATAAAAAATAAAGGTGTTGTGTACAACTACAACTAAAAAATAAATATTTTTTGAAAAAATTTTACTGAAGAGTTCATATAAGAAGTCTTAGAAAAAAAACGGTATGTTCTTTAGTACAGGAAGGGGTAAATTATGATAACAGATCATGAAACACTCTGTAACCATTAAAAAAGTGAGTGTTCTCTATATTGGAAATTCAGGAAAAGGTTGGCAGGGTAAATAGAAAACTACTGTCTTTGTAGAAAGGAGAGTGGAAGAAAACTGTAGCTTTTATTTTGAAATGTGTTTATTTTATATATACAATGTATAATTCTTTTGTATTTTTTTAAATATGATAAAATTCAAATTAGTGATTAGTATTTTCATAAACTTTTTTTTATTTGGCATAGAAATTAGTAGTTTTAAATGATCAGTGGATATGAATACTTTAAACTTAAAATTTTAAAGGCAAAAAACACTTTATATCCTTAAATTCTGATAGGAAATTATTTTCTTAAAATTACCTGAAGTGATGGTACTATTCAAATATTCAGCTTGCTTTCGTTTAATCTGAGGTGCGTCACACGTAAGAATTCGTAAAGTATCTGAAAATCTGAAGAATATAGGTAAAAGAAATAAAGTAATATTATATTAGAATTAAAGTGGCATGACTTCACAGAGGAAACTGAATTCCAAATAATTCTATTTTTATTTCACATTTGCACAAAAAGACACTAATCCTACCTTATAAGACTATGATTTGCCAATTAAAAATTTTTGTTTAAAGTATAGGTTGTTGATCATTTAAAATCCCCCAATTAGAGATTATTTTTAAATATTTTTTAGTTGTAGATGGACACAATACCTTTATTTATTTATCTTTACGTGGTGCTGCGATCGAACCCAGGGCCTCACACATACTAGATGAGTGATCTACCACTGAGCCACAACCCCAGCCCCAAATACAGAGATTTTAAATCTGAGGATTCTATAACAGCTAAAGCAATAATCTAAAGTATGATTTTTTTTGAAATTGTTGTAATATTTAAAAAGGCCAATAATCATAAAATCTTTAGGGGCCGGGGTTGTGGCTCAGTGGTAGAGCGCTTGCCTAGCATGCATGAGGCACCGGGTTTGATCCCCAGCACCACATAAAAATAAAATAAAATAAAGGTATTGTGTCCATCTACAACTAAAAAAAAAAAAAAAAGAAGAAGAAGAAGTAGTAGTAGTAGTTAGCCTTTATTTCTAGAAATGTAATACTTGGTATTTACTTGGGCCCATAAAACACAATTAAGTAAGGTAGTCTTATTCAGTAGAAGAATCCTCCACTTCCATGTAAGATTAGTACTGACACTGCAGCAAGAGTCCGAGAATTTTCATACCACTAATACCACTTCCAGAACTGCAGCTGCTGCCACTACCACCAACGAACATTTCTGAGCAGACATCATGTGCTGGGAACTGTTGTAAATATTTTATGTGTACAAATTAAACTTAACTCTCCCAACAATTCTATAAGATAAATGTTGTTATTGTTTTCACTGTAAAGAAAAGAAACTGAGATTTTGACCTTTCTTCTATGATGTTATTAAAGGAACACAAACATACAAAGATACAATAAAAAAATTTTTAAAAATCCATCTTTTCACCCTACCATATAATAGCTGTTAACTGTATATCTTGACACAACTTTCCCTACAGCAATGTACTTTAAATGTTTATTCTTAAAATTAATTTCTATGGAATTTTTTTCTTAAAAAACTATTTAGGGGGCTGGGGATGTGGCTCAAGTGGTAGCGTGCTCGCCTAGCATGTGTGAGGCACTGGGTTCAATTCTCAACACCACATAAAAATAAAACAAAGACATTGTGTCCACCTAAAAAAACTAAAAAAAATTTTTTTAAAAATTTAAAAAACTATTTAGGGAAGGCAAAGGGAAAAGAATTATAGGAAGTCAATTATGATTTGGTCTATCACAGCCTAATGTTTTGGGCTAACAAAATTGCCAATTCAGAAAAGAGGAGAATGAATGAGGTTGACTTTCACACTTTTAAAAAATGACCAAAATCTAAGAACCTAAATGTTCAACAATATATCTGTCAACAAATTAAAGTACGTTACCATAATAGAAAATTTATATAGGCAATAAGTTTTATTTATAATTAACTGTTGGCCAATTATTGACTTGGCAAATATTCATGATATAATGTTGGAAAAAAATAGGTGATATAACCATATAAGTAATGATTTCAAGAAAAATTTTGGTGAGGGACAGTGCTGGAGCTCAAACCCAAGGCTTTGAGCGTGCTGGGCAAAGGATTCTAACTGAGCTACCCTCCTAGCCCAACAAATACTTTATGAATAAAAGAGCTATGTAGATTATGTGTGTTTGTATGTGGGAAAATGAGAAAATAACTAACTATTTTCAAATTCAATCCAAGGAGTAGTGTTTTCTTCACAGATGTGATAATCATTTCAGAAATTCTAGAAAATAAATTAAATATAATCATAAAAAGATATAAAGAGCTGGATGCAGTGGTGCATGCCTGTAATCCCAGCTGTTCGGGACACTAAGGCAGGAGGATCCAGAATTCAAAGTCAGCCTCAGCAACATAGCAAGGCCCTAAGCAACTCAGGAGAGACCTTGTCTCTAAGTAAAATATAAAAAAGGGCTGGGGATGTGGCTCAGTGGTTGAATGCCTCTGGGTTCAATCTCTGGTACACCCCCCCCCCCAAAAAAAAAAGATATAAGGAGAAAACTAAGTGGTTAAAAGGTAACTTTTACTAGTATTTTTCAGTTAATGGAGGAAAGAGAATGTTAGGAACCTTCTTGGTCTTAAAGTAGAATGAACTTATACAATTCACATCTCAGTAACATACAGTGCCACTGATTAATAATTATTCATGAATATACAGTGGTTTAGTTCTGATACTACGTACCTGACATTGCTGACCAAGGAAGAGAGGAAATATTGATTTTCTTCAGAAATACTTTTTGACTGTTTGGGAAAAAATTTGTTATCTTCAGCAACCTCCAAAGCGACACGCTTTCCTATTTTTGATGATTTATACAGTCGGAAGTTTCTGTTTCTTGTATAAACTCCTACATAAAAAATTAATTTAAAAAATTAATGCATGTTTTCTGTGATTAGTTTTACAGTCAGCAAATATTATTTTAGTATACAATTACCAGAAGAAACAATTATTTTCTACAAACAGCCATAAACAAAATTAAAGCAATATATAAGATAAATTTGAGCTGACATGTAAGAATGCCATGTTCAGAAATAGTAAGGAGCAACTGTCCAGTTGAAAACAAATAGAAAAGCTAGACAAAGATAACAGAAAAAAATTAAGACTATTGGGAAGCTACAAAAACAGCAAGGATATATGGTGTAAAATCCCAGAGAAAAGGAAAGCATCAAAAAATATCAGATACTTAGAATTAATCTAAGAAAAGACATATAAGACTTCTATTCAGAAAATTATAAAACATTACTGAGAGAAATGAAAGAACATACAAGTAAAAGCAAAGACATATCATATGCATAGATCAGAAGACACAATATTATGAAAATGTTAGTTCTCCTCAAGTTGATCTCCCAGTTCAATATAATCCACATCAAAATTCTGATAGGGCTTATGTGTTTATTTTATATTTTAAATTGAAAATTGAAAGTTAAATTTAAATTGAAAGTTGATTTTCAATTTTAAATTGATGTACAAAAGGTCATGTATAGCCAAGAAATTTCAAGGAACAAAGTCAGAGGAATTATTTTGCTAGATATAAAGACTTACTAAAAAACTACATTAATTAAGACAGTGAGGTACTGGCACAAGGACAGATCAATAGAACAATGAAACAGAATAAAAATCCAGAAATGGGCCAGAACATATATGAACACTTGATTTATGGCAGAGGTGGTACTGCTGAGCAGCAGGAAAAGTGAGCAGCAGGAAAAGCACAGTCACTCCAACAAATGGTGCTGAGACAACTGCAAATCCACATTAGAAAAAATGAATCTTGGCTCCTCATCCCCCAGTAAGCAAAACTGCATTCCAAGTAGGCTGCAGATCTAAATATAAAAAAAAAGGCAACACAAAAGACTTCTAGAAAATAAGCTGGAGAATATCTTCATGACTTTGGGATAGAGAAAGATCTAACAACATAGAAGAAACTCTAATCACAGAGGAAAACACTGATAAATCAGAGTATTACTACTATTTAAAGGTTACTTTATTCATCAAAGACATCATTAAGACAGTGAAAAGGGAAGCTAAATACACGATTCCAATTATAAAAAGTTCAAAATAGACAAAACTAACCCATGTTAGAGGGCGGAAGAGTTGTAGTTACCTCTGGGGTATGGAGTAGGTCATGGGTTCCCGACCATCTCCTTGCCTGGGGTGGAATGGTTTTGGCGAAGTGTGTTCACTTTGTAGTAATTCATTGGCCTAAGCACTCATGAATTATGTAGTTTTATATATTATTGTTATGTGTCCATTAAAAAGTTTTGAAGAAACTTTTTGACATGTACTATTAAATCTCCAAACTTTTCAAAGAACAGTTTAGGACTTGATTTCCCACTCATTTGGTATTCAAATAAATCTGGGTATTCTGTTGAAATTTCAAGACTATCATGAAAGTTTCACCACTGTCCAGTGATCTAACTTTGAAAGACAGAACTGACATGAACTAGGGTATTCGTATGGACATTTTAATTCTGGGGTAAAGTATATTTACTGGATAATGCTGCTATCTCTCCATCAACTTCTTATGCATTTTTTCCTAGTTTATTGCAGGCTTATTCAACTAAAATTGATGTTCTGCTAATAAAACAAACTTGTCATTTGGAAGCATGCTCCTCTACTTATAACTTACTTGCTTGTTCACCCCCAAACCAGTACACTGCATTTATCTCTCTCCAAATTCTGGTACTTATTGGGGATATCTGAAAGATATATGATTCAGCAGGAACACTTCCCTATTTCTGGAATCTCTGTTGGCCTCAGAATCTTGCCTAGAATCTTGTTTAGACTCTGAAAGCTCTCCACAGTGCTCAAACAGTCCATGACAAAAATGTTGCTCTTACAATTTATCACATTTCATGCTATGAACTCAGCATAAAAATCAGGTTTAGGGGCTGGGGATATAGCTCAGTTGGTAGAGTGCTTGCTTTGCATGCACAAGGCCCTGGGTTCAATCCCCAGAACTAAAAAAAAAAAAAAAATCAGGTTTGGTACATAAAATTGGAGCTGTTGTATTAGGGCTCTTGATTGGCCTATGTGTTGAATCAGGCTACAGTCTGCTCATTCCAAGGCTTCCTACATCCTCAGTTCAAAGATCAGAACCCAGTGGAGGTTGGCCAGGCTGAAGAAGTCATCATTTGACCATGGCAAGAAAGCTGATGTAATGGCTCCTGCCACTACCACAAATCTCCCAGTCTAGAAAATGCCTACCTGTACTTTACCACATGAGCAGCGTGTTCACATTGTGTCTGTTTTTGAAAGTGATTTAATCTCTATCAGTGTTAGGGTGTGCTGGTCCAAATGTCAGAACTAGAGCACAGCCAGCCACAGCATTCTCTTTTGGAGCTCAAGCCAACCTAGTGCTTCAACTCCACAGGGACCCAAGATCTCTAAACAGAAACCTAGTAGATTCCTAGCACCCGAACTCACTGATCACATTTTGCTGGTGACTCGCAATATCATTGTGGAACAATGGTGATAGCAAGAACCTAACCATACCTATACGCAGGCACTGACTTGTCTTTTACAAAGTACCCAGGACAGTCTAATAAACAGCTGTCAATCTACTTACCTAGATCCACAAAAAGATGCTTTTCTCCCATGTTGTTCTTTACAATTAAAAATGAAAGATCAGGACCACTTTTGTCAGCTGACCCCAGTCTCTCCAGTTCCTCCAAATTTAACGCCCAGCTCTCTCCTATATCCTTAACTGTCAACATTTTGTTCAAGGAACTCCCTTGTTTTAATGGTGCTTCAGAAAAATGGGAAGATTCATGGTCTGTTATCTCTAGAATTCTATCATCATTTTCACTGGCAATAAAGTGAAAAGCAGGTTGCAGAATCTTTCTGACAAAATTACCTAAGGAAAAAAGGTACTGTGATTAATTTTTTTCTGCAACCTACAATTTAAGATCCAAACATAAATCTACATCTGAAAATTTTACACAGTAAGGGTTTTTTATTATTGTTTTTTTAATTTCCAGTTTTGAAACTGAGTTGTTGCTGTAAACTGTAACATGTGTCTCCTGCTACTTCCTTCTTTCTGTGTACCCTTACTTTTTCAATTTCCCCTAGCATAGGAGCTTGGTGTCAGTTGTAAACAAATCATTTACATATTGCTAGTATGGTGCTGAATCTAACATGCTGTCACCAAAAAAGCACCACTTTTATTAATACAAATCAAAAAGACTTATCTTTACAATCAATGATTAAAGAATGAAGGGAACTGTGCTGCTAAGATAATGGACAGAAACACTGAGAGAATCTCTACCATATCCTCATGGAGTTAATAAATTTAATAATTTTTTTTTATTTATGTAAGACAGTGGAATGCATTACAATTCTTATTACACAAATAAAGCACAATTTTTCATATCTCTGGTTGTATACAAAGTATATTCATACAAATTCATGTCTTCATACATATACTTTGGATAATAATGTCCATCACATTCCACCATCATTCTTAATCCAATGTCCCCTCTCTTCCCCTCCCTGGAGTCAATAAATTTCTCACAAGTTCATTCTTTCCCTTTACCTGCCATTACATGCCCTAAGAACCCTGACTTGTCAGTTCCAAGGTGATTGCTAATCCCACCTCTCCCTCCAACCAGTCCCATGATGATCTATGGCCTCATAGAGTGAAAGCAATTAGATAAAAGCAATTAGAAACATTTCGTCTCAGACATTTACCCTAAGAGCTCTTCATAGTAGGGTCATCTTATCTGTACCATAAAGTTGTTTAGACAAACTAACATTTGTTTAAACTCACATTTACTATTTATAGCACAACTTCAAGTAGTAACTTGGCTATTAAGTGTAACAATACTGAAGAAATGTAATAATGTAAGTAAAATTTAGTTTTAATTTTAACACTGTAATACTCTGGAGTTTTTATTACTTTATTTACCAAAAAGGCTTGAATCCTTAAATTATAACATACACATTCTAATTACATTCCTATTCAAAGAAATAAATCCAATTTCTTACAAAACACTAAACATCAAAATGAAAGCAAAAGCATTTGATCCTTACAGTGATACACAGACATGAGGGAGAGAAGGTAAACACTGAGTGATAAGAAATCATGACTCAAAAGTACAACAAGTAAAGTAAGCATAAACTGAATTAGTTAATTTTCCTAGAAACTTAAAATTATATCTCCTCCACCCTAGGCTATGGGAGGCCATCCTCACACCTGATTTGAGTTACCTCCCTGGCTGGGTGAGAGGCGCTTAGGCACAGCTGTGTCAGAGCTTTCCCCACCCTTCTCCAGGTTCGAGGGCTTGTCCATACAGAGGCGTGTCTGGCCACTACCCCAAAGACTCAATCATCGCCCCTGACCTTGGGACACTGCCCCCCCCCCTTAATCTTCATTGGATGGGATTTTCCCCAGAATTTTTTGTTTCTCTCTCTCTCTCTCTCTCTCTCTCTCTCTCTCTCTCTCTCTCTCTCCTCTACCACAATAGGTGGCTTGAGGCTGGAGCTAGGAGGAGCCGTCCTGGAGCTGGTTTAAAGGTAATTAGAGTCTTGTCTCTTTAATTTAAAACTCCCTAGCAGTTTCTCACTATTCGAACCTTCTTTCATGAAGCCAGCATGGGTGGAGGGCTAAACTAGGCAATAAAACAATAAAAGTTGTGACAGTAGTGCTGAGGAGGCCAGGTAGGCCCTTGACCTTGGATAACCTAGCCAGGATATGATGACAGCAGCTAAGTGCCAACACTCTGACTCCCAGCAAACTATTCTGCTTTCTACTTCCCTTCTCGAATCATGTCACCCACACTCCTCATAGACAGCAACTCATATTGGTTGGCAATAATTGAAAAGAACTAATCAATCACAGACACTTCAGATACTAGCGCAGAAAGAAGCGTATTTGTATAGATTAAACTCTAATTCCCCTTTCTAAAAGGAACTTGAAATTTCATCAAGAGATACCCTGAGAGAGGGGAACTGAAGGGAAAGTTTGAACTACTTTATATTCTCTGCATCTCATTCTGGCACTTCATAATTTTAGAGCCAAGAGCCTTAGATGACATCTCATATATCAGGTCTGATTATGTCTCTTGCCTTAACCACACTAGATTCTCATTGCTCCCCAAATAGCCAAACTTGCATTCTATACTTTTGTTTTTAATGCTTTCCTGACATAAAGGCTTTTTTACCTTTGTCTATATAATAAATGTTGTCTGCTTTCAGAAGAAATATGTAGTTCTATTCTCCCTTTCTTTCCTAGCAATGGATTTTCCATTTCTAGCCTTGTGGCCAGTAATCACAGAGCAGACTATGAGAAGTAAACAGGAAACAAAGAAATAATCATGCTCAGATTCTGCTTTCACACTCTATTTAATCTCTACACATTCACTCAGCAAATATCTATTAAATTTCCATTTGTATTTATTATTGCTGCTACTGTTGTTATATTAGTAAATTTTTTATTGATAAAAAATACTATTAATATATGTAAGCTAAGCTCTGAAAAAACAATAGTGAATAAGAAATAGCCCCTTGCTGTACAGAAATATTAAGTGGAATAGAGAAGAAGACAAGGAAAACAGGAAACTATCTCAGGAAGTGGTAAATGCTTTGATATGATAAGTATGGGACACTTTCTGTAGCCCAGAACACTAAAATAAACATTAGGGTTTGGGATGTGACAGAAACAGCTCAGATGATTTGAGATTTACACTGAGTCTTAACAGACCAGGTGAATTGGAGGTATATCTGTTCAGACAGAAGCAATAAAAATGCAAAGTCTCAAGGACTAGAGAAAATGTGCCCACAGGAGGAGCTGAGTGAGGACAGAGTTAAGAGATGAGACTGGAGCACAGTGGGTCCTGTTTTGCAAGCAAGGATGTCTGTATACTTCCCTAAAGGCAAGGAATAATCACTGAAGGGTTTGAGGAACACGAGTGGCACAGTTCACTCGGACTGAATGAGCAGGTGGAGAGAGATACTCTGACAACAAAATTTTTCCTGAGGTAACTGGGTGGAGAGTGACGCCACTCACTGATATACATGTTGTGAGAGAAGATTGAGAAGCTGAGGAGCTTGGCATAGGACATGTTAAGTTTGAAGTGTCTCTATGGGGATGTTTGCAAGGCAGCTGGCAGTATGAGTCTGGTATCTAGGAGAATAATCTGGGCTAAGGATAAAGACTTGAGAGTCATCAACACAGATGATAATGGAAGTTATGACAGTGGATTCATCAAGGGTGCGAGTACAGTGAGAAGAGGACCAAGGATAGATTGTAATATTAAGGGATGAGAGACAGAGACACAAAGAATATGCAGTAAGTTAACAGAAAATGGGGAGATAATAAGGAGCCCTGTGCACACAGCACACCAGGCCACTGTGACCTATCACTGCCCTGATCCAGCAATTAAGTTCCCAATTTTCAAGGCCATCCTTTAGTGACTATGTTCATGACTTTCATCCTGGCCACTGATAAAATTTTAAGGCACCTGCAGCGCTGAAATGGCTTGCCCATTTCCTGAACTTCAGTCAACTATCTGCTGATTAGATCTAGGAATGCTTGTCCTATCCTTGCTTTCAAAAACACTCTGAATGTTTGCTCCTATTTAGACCTTATTAGTTGGTATTCCCCTTTTGCCTATTTGTCTCTCCAGTAGACTCTATTCATTTTAGACTCAGGCCTGTATCTCTAAATGCCCAGTCCTGGAACAAATACTCTGGTTACAATTTTGGGTTTATACATCTAGATTCCAACCCTGAAATTACATGTGGAACAATATTATGAGTCTTTCTTGATGTGGAACCCAAAGCTCAAAGTGAAGGTTAACACAATTCTGAAGCAAAGGTCAGAAATGCAGATATGAGGCATTACAGATAAGGCTTGAAATGAAAGACTGCTTACGAGTTATCCAGAAAACAGAAATGAATCCTGTTAAACAGAAACCAGTACCAGGACATGTATGGCCAACCCCAACATGTGTGATGAGAGAAAAGCATTAATGCCAAAGATAACCTGAGTAGGTTAACCTTCATGGGACAGATAGTTTAGAGATCAGGACAAATTCTGGAAAAGCAAAAAAATCACATTTCAATATTTTAGGACAGGTTGGCAACCATAAAAACTTATAAAATTTTAAGCAGAATAAGAAAATATGAGCTGTTAATAGAACTCACAGTATTTTAAAAGGTAGTGTACTTACCAACGTGAACATTATCTTTAAATGCCACATCATGGAGTTGAAATATTAAATGACGGCTAAATTTTTCATCAGTGCTAGAATCCAAGTTGAAAACATCTTCAGATGAACAACTAACATTGTATAATTCTTGAAGTGCTTTACAAACATACTAAAAACACAAGTAAAATGTAAATAATTTGTATGTTTAAATTTTTTTCTATGAGCAAATGCAAATATCTTGGCACAAATAAGTCTAATGTTAAAAATAAATTTTTTTACTTACTTTTAGTACATTTACAATATAACAATCTTATCAATTTATAAACTGAATATATCATTTTAAAATTATATTTATGTTCAAGAATTCATTGGCTCTAAAGATTAAAGAGGCCTCTTAGAAGTCAAACAATGTGTACATTAACCTCCTTTAAAATCACAAATTTAAACATCTCTTTAAACATGAGTTAAAAAGTCATTAATTCCATTTTTAAAAATTTGAGCTATTAAAAAATTTCTCATTTGTATTGCACCCCAATTCACCTCCAGGAATACAGCCTCTGGGGTTAGATGACACTGGCATTGACAGCCATGAGTTTCAGAGGCAGCAACCTGGGTAAGGGCTCAAGATGAGGTAAGGTAAGTCTGAGTTGTAGCTCTGTCATTTATCAGCTCTGACTCTGGACAAATCTAAACCTTATATTCCTCAACTGCTAAATGGGAATGATAATAGCATCTAATGTTGGGAGTTGTTAAAAATAGTGAAAAAAATGAGATCTAGGAGTCAGCACAGTGTCTGGCACATGTAACTGCTTGAAAGTACTGGCTATGCAACCTGAAGACAAGTCACGTGTCTATAAGCCTTCCTTCTCTCCTTTGCAAAATGAAGCTACTAATAAACCACCATGTGAAGTAATCTTGAAAATAGTAAAAATGCTCTTGCCAATTACTTTAACACCTAATAGTTATGCAACAAATTGTATTCATTAACATTACTTTGGTATTATTAGAGTACCATATTCCCCTTCATTATCTGAGTTTACTCATCAGTAAATTACCACTTTCTCAGAGAAGGTTACATCAATCTCCATGTTGACACCAAATTCTCCTTACGTTTTCTATCTCTTTACAGTACTGACACAACTATAATTTTATGCTAATTTTTTTTCAGGGAGAAGATGTGGCCCATTTTTATTAGAAACCAGGAAAGAAGTCTGCAGGACTGCTATATGGAGAGAAAATTATTTTACTGCTGCCAAAACAAAAACACTTCCCCAACCTTTTCTCCCACCATTTATCAAAACATTTAATTATTGTATGATTAGTTGAGGTTTTCCTAATGCCTGGGGATTTTACAGCCTGCCAAGAAGAGTTTGAGAAGGTTTAAGGTACAGATCTGAATAATGAGGAACAAGCATAAGGAAGTAACCATGTTATATTTAGGGAACACAAGTAATAGACCGTAATAAAAGGCAAATAAGTTTGGGATAAGAAACTCTGATGTGCATCTTGAGGAAAGTCAATTTAATTATAAGTGGGAGGACTTAGGCAAATACTACTTGAACACTTTAAATTGGTTCAAGAAAAAAGGCATAACTGCAGTCCAAGTTTTCAGAGAAAATTAGCATGATTAGTTTCATCCCAATGAAGATGAAACTCAACCGAAGGCCCTCCTTGCCCAACAAGAGGGAAAGGGCCCCTTTAAGACCTGCATACATTAGTGTGCTGGGCCTGTCTTAACAAAGTGCCACAGACTGGGTGGATTTAGATAACAGAAATTTATTTTCTGAGGGTCCTGGAGGTTAGAAGTCCATCCATCTGTGTCGGGAGGGCCAGATTTCCCCAAAGGCTTTAGGGAAGGACTCTTTCTGCCTCTTCTTAGATTCTGGTCACAATCACTGATCACTATAAAGACTGCCTTTATCTCTTAATAATATATAATCTAATTTTATGCTAATTTATGTGGTTAGTTTGACATTTGTTTCTTCTCTATTACAGAAGGCATCTCCCAACATTTGTTTTCTTGTTTTGTAGAAACAGAATCCCCATTTTTAGCTAGGTAAGAGGTCACAAAGAGTAAAGACCATTTTCCCTAGACTCATTTACAGAAAAGCATGAACATGTGACTAAGTCTGGCCAGTGGGATGTGAAAAGAAGCAATGTATGCCATTTCTAGGTTACACTCATAATGTGAATTAGGCAACATCTCAGGATTGGTAAAGCAACAGCATGAAACCTAATTCAATGGAGCTACATGGGATATTATATAAGAGAGAAATAAATTTCTATCCTGTTTAAGTCGTTTCATTATGGATTTTTTTTTAAATGGCAGCTAAATCTGTTCTCCATAGGATTAAAAATTCTGTGAAGTCAGAAACTCTTGTCTCTTTGGGTGCATCATTGTATTCCTAGAGGCCAGGCACAGTGCTTGCAACTTGGTAGAGGCCAAAATTATTTCTGGTAGATGAATAAAACAGAGTTCTGTACTTTAGAGCTACAGGGAATAAATGTAGTGATTGCAACTTAAGTTAAACTTTAAATAAAATTTATAGTTATTTAACTAGTTAAGTTGTAAAATCTAGAGGTTAAGAATAATGATTGTTTGAACAACACTACCTGATAAAATCCATTAGCACTAGACTTCATCCTAATTGGCAGAAGAGGCTTATCTAATTTGTCATATAAGTCAATGAAGCAAAGGGCACTAATATCATAAGTAGTTATTATTAATCAGTTACTTATTAACTGTCACTTACATTAAAAATTGGTAAAATTATGCTATGCACACAGGAATATACCACAGTGAATTTCACCTTTATGTATATCTATAAAATATTTTAAAAACTAGTATAAATAAATAAATAAATTGAAGGAAGACCAGTAGTGTAGAGGAAGGAGAAGGTAGAGGAGGAAGTAAGGGAAAGGGAAAGAAATGGGGACTGAAGGAGAACAAATTATATTCCATGCTTGTATGATTATATCAAAATAAAACCTAATATTATGTAAAAACTATAATTGCACTAATAAAACCATAACAAAAGAAGAGACCTAGTCTAATCTGTATTTCTTCAAAGATTCAAAATAAAAAATTATTCATTGGACTATAGACTTATTGCATACAAAGTAACCAACAAATGACAAATGAAAATAACTTCAATAGTTATTTATAAAAGCATTTCACTAAGTAAAACAATCCTAATATGAACTATTCTATCAACATGTTAAACATGTTAAATGAAAATATATAATTTTGAACCTAGAGCTCTATAATTATTCCAAGTTTTGTTGATGTAGATTAGTTGTTCAAGGCTTATTTAGATAAAATGATGTAATGAATTAGGAGGAAAAGAATTTTGAACATGTAAGTGCTCTTTTTCATCCATATTCATTAATCTACATTGCAAACAGGATTTATACTAATGTTGATTTCATTAGGGATATTTCTAGTTTCTAATACAATATTGTACATCTTTATTAAGGGAATCACCACATTTAATGCTGATGAAAATCTTTGAATCTTTTTTTTAAGTAAATTTTTAGTAGTAGATAGACACAATACCTTTATTTTATTTATTTTTATGTGATGCTGAGGATCAAACCCAGTGTCTCACATGTGCTAGGCAAGCGCTCCTCCACTAAGCCACAACCCCAGCCCAATCTTTGAATCTTAATTAATTGTAAAGCCTCAGAGAAACTACATAGGAAATTCTACTTTAGACAACAGAAATGTATCACACATCAGAAAAAAATCAAGACTTATGAATTATTAAAATATAATTAAGGGGCTGTGGTTGTGGCTCAGCAGTAGAGTGCTTGCCTAGCACATAAGAAGCACTAGGTTCGATCCTCAGCACCACATAAACATATATAAATAAAATAAAGGTGTTGTGTCTAACTACAACTAAAAAAATTTTTTTTAATAATTAGGTTGAAAATTAAGCATAATTTACCAACTCTAATGAAATAACATTTATTTCTAATGATTCAACGGCTATTTTAAGAAAAATAAAACTTGTTTTGGTTTGGGGGAAAAGGAGTGTGAACTATACCTTTCTCTTCTATGAAAACTGGGACAACTATAGTTTTAGACTATGTTTTGCCAATAACTAGCTGTAAGGCCTGAGCAGGCAATGGTCTCTTCTAGGTCTTGATTTTCTTATTCATGAAGGAACAAGATACAATGATTTCCCAAACTCCTGCCAGTTCAAATATTCTGATACTACCTTTTGAAGTTTCCTTGAGGTTCATCTCAGTACTCAAATTTTACAGTAAAAAATATTTTATCTGGCCTTTACCAAAATCAGCTATTTGTAATGAAGTCAGAGAATTAATGCATAATTTAAAAACACAGAAAACTCCCAAATTGCCATCTTTCTCAAAGCTTTCTTAAAAAAAAGTGATATTATTAAAATATCTGGACAAAAATTGAACTTTTCATGGTTCAATTTTTTTTAATACACAGAAGTAGTATTAAAAAAATGAAAGTAAAAAAAATAAAAGTCAAAGAAAGAGTAGCAAGAAATAAGGAGAAATACAAAATTTAAAGTGACACAGACTGGATTTGCTGAATGAATGAATACATGAATGAAGAGATGAATAGAAAGTGGAAGAAAAACTATAATCTATCCTTTACCTCTATGAGTAATGCAACCATCTTTTTCCCATCGGCTTCAGGATTGGCAGGTTTGTTAAATTCCAAATCAAAATAAAGTTTGCATACAGCATTTTCAGGAATAACTTCATAGCAGTGCATGAGATTTTTTCTAAATTGAATAATTCAAGATTGTTAGATTTATATCTTATACCATTTAATCAGTTAGATTGAACCCAGGGCACTCTACCACTGAGCTACATCTCCAGTCCATTATTTTTTTATTTTGAGACAGGTGCTGAGGCTGGCCTCTGATATTCATGATTCTCCTGCCTCATCCTCCCAATTTGCTGGGATATAGGTGTGTGCCACTGCATCTGGCTTTTACCTTTTAAATCATGAAGCTGATCTTATACCTCAAGGACAGCGTAAACTGTGCTTTAACTACATATGCCTATGAAATAACGTGATAAAGAAAATGTGCTCACAATAGGTTTATTGCTCACAGTACCAAGAGTTTCCATCAAAAGATATAACGATTATATTCTAAAACATTATTTAACTGGAAAATAAGGTCAGTCTTACAGTGTTATTTATTCACAAATGTTTGATATTATATAATATCTCTGAATTTGTTTTTGGTATCATCATGAAACAAATTTGAGAAAATTTTTTTCCCTCAAACTGCGATCCCAGAATCACATATTCTTGAGGTTCTATAAATTTTTCATGAGAATTTTTCAATTTTGTATTTTCATTAGTAAGATATTTTAGAAATTGGTAAAGAAATATTCTGAATGACCTGACTTTACTAATGTTTCTAATGGACACATTTACAGTTACAGTCTTGCTAAAAAGGGAGGAAAGACTTTGATACAGGTAATAAGAATGGATGATGAGGATTGGGGCTATATAGTTCAGTGGCAGAGTGCTTGCCTAGCGTGTATGAGGCACTGGGTTCAATCCTCAGCACCACATAAAATAAACAAATAAAGGCATTCTGTCCATTTACAACCACAAAGAAATTTTTTTAAATATTTATTTTTTAATTTTAGGTGGACACAATATCTTTATTTTACTTTTATGTGATGCTGAGTATTGAACCCAGTGCCTCACGCATGCCAGGCCTACGCGCTACCACTTGAGCCACATCCCCAGCCCGATTTTTTTTTAATTAAAAAAATTTTAAAAGAATGGATGATGACTCAAATGTAAATGATAATTCAGATTAAGTGAAGTCCAGATGACATACTATACAAATAAAGGGTTTGTAGTAACTTGAAGAAGGAAAAGTGATGGGGGTACAGTACTAACATGTAATAGGTAGTACAGGAATTCAACACACACATCAGGCACATGCATGCAGGTACATGTTTTATAATAATCAGTATCATATTTACGTTGCAAGGTTTAGTTTCAGCAAAACATCATCTGTCACATTACCTTAAGAATTTTAATTCACCTCTAATTAGTATTCCATGTAAATAAACATAACTATGTCTAGTTTTATATTTGCAACTACTTAAGTAACATTATAATGAAAGTATTTTAAATTGAAACAAGCATCCCATATTAATTTACATTAATTCCATACATTATTCAGGTCTGGAAAATCCATGAATTCATCACTCAGAAAGCAGATATTTCTTTATTAGATAATTAATCAGGTAAATAATAGTACAACATAATACTTGTTTGCAAAAGAAAAACTTCACAGAATTCCCTTTGGGTACACAAATGTGTGTGTGTGTGTGTGAGAGAGAGAGAGAGAGAGAGAGAGAAAGAGAGAGATTGATTTTTCTTTACCACACCAGGTGAAATAATTGAGCACTGCTATGACAAAGGAACTCCAAACCCAATTCTAATAGTAAAGGAGTGACTAATCTGTTAGAAACTACTTACCGAGATTTATAGTAAAACCAAAGTTGAGCATAGGTTGTTACAAGGTAAATGCGTTGACCATCTCCCACTTTACATTCCAAAGCAAATACGTGAACATCCTTAAAAAAATCAAAAATAATATTCAAAAAAATTCAAAAAATGCAAATCTAAATTCAACTGCATGCTATTAAATATTCATAAACATTTTCATGCTTCAATTTTTCAGAAACTGGAATATGGACAATCATATTATTAAAAAAAGTCACTATATCCATGCAATTCAAAATCTATTTATATTTATTTCTAATCATTCACATCATGTACAAAATGGAAACAAACAGAATGGATTAAAGGAGAAAAAAACTTCTTGATTCCATTACACTAAGTTAAAACCTCCTATGATAGTTGTATTTCTTAGTATATGAAATTAAAGCTATATTTATTTCAAAACTACCTAAATATTACTACAAATAATTTGAGCTAAAAATCAATTAATCAATTCTCTAATATTTATAAAAATGTGTGGGAATGAATTTTTTAAAGGCTACTAGAATACTGAATTAAATAGACCTTCATGGCTGGGCTGTAGAGCTGCTTCTAATAAAGGCATACATACACATGTTCTTTTGTTTCCATTTAAGCTAAGGCAGCTGTTCAGCCTACTATCATTTTCATGAATGAAGAAATCATAGGACTCAGCTGCTCAATCCTATTAAAAATCTTTTTGAAGTAAATTTTATAAGTTGGTAATTAACAAAACCAGCAGGCAGACACCTGTATCTTTTTTAAAAATCCAAACTGACATGAATCTATGTTTTAATTTCTGATACCTGAGTTAGGTTTGTACAAAATAATTAAGAAAAGTTTTTCTTATATTTCCTAAACTATTTTAATAAGATATAAGTGAGCCTCTTCTTGCTAGGTAAAGAAGGGTCTCACTCCCAAAACTTAAGTGTATTAGGTTTCTACACAGCATCAATGGCCAAGAGTTACAATACATTTAATTTGGATTAAAATATGCACCTTATCTTTTCCTTTATACTTCTTTATTTCTGATGGTACCCAACAAACAAAGAATGTGCAATGTACTCTATTGCTTCATGTATTAATTTTTTTGAATGTTTCAAGTACTTTTAATGTGTTGGCAATATGTATGGCTGCCCTTTCTCTAAGCACAGCTTCATTTAAATGTGATTACACATTTTTAAAACTAATTGGACTATCTATATCATTTTTTATTACTAATACAAATTAAATGGTTAATGATTTGAAGGAATAATATCCTACAACATGTGATTTTAAGATTGCCATTAAATTCTCTTGATAAAGAACATAATCTGAAATGGAGTCAAATAGATATTTTTAGAAATCTTGAGTCATAGTTGTTCTAAAAAAAACAAAAAGAAGATGAAGCAATTACCTCTTTACAGCTTTTAACAAAATTAAAAGCTTGATTTTGTCGATAAAACAGCCTCCAAATGGAGGGTGGTTCTTCTGACTTGGACAATCTTGGTCTATAAACAGAGGACAATGGTTTCCTCTCATACTGAGATGCTAGTTCTTCAATTCGCTTCAGTTTTTCTTCCCATTTTCTCTTCATTGGTTTATAAGTGTGGGGAGAATAAATCCTGTTCCACTTAAATTTTCTATCAATTAGTATTAAAACAAACAAAAAGGCCATCAATTTCTTTGTTTAGAACATGTTTTGGTGGATAAAATTTCAAACTCATTTCCTGACGTTTATGTCTTTATTTGCTTTATATTTTCTTTTTAAATTAAAGAGTTTATACCTTTCATTTTTTTTTAAAGAGAGACAGAGAGAGAGAGAGAATTTTAATACTTATTTATTTATTTTTTAGTTTTCGGTGGACACAACATCTTTGTATGTGGTGCTGAGGATCGAACCCGCACGCATGCCAGGTGAGCGCGCTACCGCTTGAGCCACATCCCCAGCCCCTATATTTTATTCTTTACATGAATTTTTACCATTGAACAAGAACAGGACTGGTTATCAGAAATCTTAGATTCTCTTCCATCTAATGGCTCTTTCACCTAGTAGTGTTATGACTTCAGAAAGGTTAATAAAGCTCCCAGAATCTTGTTTTTTTTTTTAAATGGGAGTTAATAACCTTTTGACTACTTTATGTAGTATCCTGAGTACAGATGTGATAAGAATATAAAAATATTTTATACTATACAAAGTTTCACATAAATGTAAGTACTTTTTTTTTCAATCATTATAGCTTTTCTTATAACCATTTTATTGCACCACCTGCTACCTACATGCCCAGCTGGTGCTACTAACTTGGTCACCATTCTTCTGCTACTATTTCTTAGTATAGAGTTCACGTCTAGACAGCCAGTGTGTACCTCTTAGTTCTCTTTTATTCTGTTTCTGATGTCTATTTCTTGTCTCCCAACACAAGTTTTAGTATCTAAGCATAACATCACTTAAATGTCATTACAATTTTTTTTTTCCAGCAAGAGATGCCATCTAAGCTCAGTTCCATATCAACTCTGGGTTTGGCCCTGTGATTTGCTGGGGCTAATGTCAAACTGACAAATGTAAAATAAACAGAGGTGATTTTGCATTGGATTTGGCTATCCTGGAGTTCTCTCCTGAAACTGTCATGTTATAACTGTGGCCTCATAAAGAATGAAAGGTCATATGGAGAAGAAACAAGACATCCCAGCTAACAGCCAGCACCAGCAGTTAGATATGTGAATCCAGAGTAACATCTAATCCACAAGAAAACTGTAAACCAAGAAACAAACATAGTTCTAGAGATATCAATATAAATTTCACAACAGATACTCCTCAGAAAGAAACATCAATTCGGTGGATTGAGGAAATGGGACAGTATTTTTTAAAATTCATTTATTTATTTATTTTTAAAAGCTACTTTAACTTGTCAATACAAAGTGCTATGGTTGTTAGCCAGATGTGGTGATGCAATGCCTGTAATCCCAGCTACCCAGTTATTTGGACATAATATCTCTATTTTATTTATTTATTTTTATGTGATACTGAGGATTGAACCTAGTGCCTCATGCATGCAAGTCATGTGTTTTACTACTGAGCTACAAACCCAGCCCCTATACCCAGTTATTTGGGAAGCTGAGGTAGGAGGATTGCAAGTATGGAAGAGCCTGGAGAACTTGGGAGACAAAAAAAATTTTAAAGGGGTGGGGGAATGGACTGAGGGTATAGCTCAGTGGTGAGCCTTCCTACTATGTGCAAGGCTCTGGGTTTAATGCCCAGCTTGTGTGTGTGTGTGTGTGTGTACATAGTGCTATGGTTCTTTATTACTAGATAGATTCTGGATATTCATTTTACTTTAATCTGCTTCATAACTACATAAAAATCCACTATACTTAGATAAACCTAATTGAGGAACTGTCTATTATATGAAATGTATTTACTTTCAACAAAGTCCACTGTTTGCTTAATGAAGAAAATAAACACAGAATACAATCATATCTGAATCATAGTATCTATGACTAGGAATAACCATATAAACATTCACACTTAGTGACACTGAAATCTTAATTTTTCTTTTTTGCAGTACTGGGGATTGAGCCCAGGGCCTCATGCGTGCTAGGCAAGCACCTTATTACTAAGCTACATTCCAAGCCCTTTCTATTTTTTCTTTTGAGACAGGGTCTCACTAAGTTGCCAGTCAAGTCTGAAATTTATGCTTCTCCTGCCTCAGCTTCCAGAGTAGTTGGAATCAGAGGCATACACCACAACAGCTAGTCTGAAATCTTCTCAGAAAAAGTTTTCTTGGGGCTGGGGATATAGCTCAATTGGTAGAGTGCTTTCCTCACATGCACAAGGCCCTGAGTTCAATCCCCAGCACCACAAAAAAAAAAGAGAGAAGAAAAAGTTTGCTTGTTTTTATAAAAATCCTGGTATGAACATGGGAGTATGTCAAACATTAAAGTCACGGAGTCTTCAATGGAAAACCAGTTGAAGATTTGCTGCCTTTGGGAAACCAGGAGCATCAACAGGGGGCATGGGGGGGGGGGGGGATCAGTATATATCATATCCCAAATTCTTTGCACAGCACGAAAATTTTAACAGCTGGCATGAGATCAGAAGACAACTGGAGGGTTGAATGACAAAAGCAAAGGAAATGGAGAATTGGAAGGCATCTGGCATTCTGGTTTGGGACTATCATATTCCTCATCCCTACCTTATGGGAGAATATGTCATCATATTAGAAATGCTTTTAATTCCTGGTGGAGAATGAATACAGTACTCTTTTATATAATTATACATAAAGATTCTTTTTACCCAGAGACCAAAACTATTTTTGGCAATAGTTTCCAGGTTCCAAAGGAAAATACTTGATGTATTTTAAGAGAGTAGGTTTAAAGAGCTTTATAATTTATTTCTCAACACTGCCCCAGAATGTCTATTTAACCATGTTTGATACCCTTATCAGGTGGCTGAGCTAGAAAAAAAGGTTGGGTTAGTCCTTTCAGGGTAACTATGGGAGAAGGGGCAATGAGGATATAAATGGAGAGTCAATCAGATCTAAGCAGCCTTGGCTTCCCTGGGTTTATGTTCAGACTTGCTCAGCTATGACTCTTTGTGGCTTCCCCCCAGCAGCTGGACTAGGGGAATACATGATTCATATTCACTAGCTTTTAGGGAGACCTGAAGCCAATCTTGCCACGCTTCTTTCTAGCCCAGCTCTCCTAGGTTCTCCTTTTGTGTAATCATAGATCAACCCCAATCCCCTAACTCCAACTTCTCCCTCTATACTGAGATTAGATTCATCAGGATTTTGTGTTTTCTAGTAATATTCTAGTTCTAATATTTAGTAATATTCTGGTATATGACAAGGTTTTCTTAATATTATCCTTTTCCAGTTGCTTGTAATACATTTATATACTATTTTTCTCAGTGCTTAAATATTCATTCTAAAGTATGTGGTCAAAATTCACTTGTAGAAATATTATTATGGGCCAGATATGGTGGTGCACGCCTGTAATCCCAGCAGCTCGGAGGCTGAAGCAGGAGGATCACAAGTTCAAAGTCAGCCTCAGTAAAACTAAGGTGCTAAGCAACCCAATGAGACGCTATCTCTGAATAAAATACAAAATAGGGCAGGGGATGTGGCTCAGTGGTCAACTGCCCCTGAGTTCAATCCCTGGTACCAAAAAAAATGTTTACTTCCTGGATGAATAATACCATAAGAAATTAAACATAATTAACTGAATTTCCTCCTTTCCCCCCAGTTCAGTACTTTGCCTGTGTATGCTTAAACAAAAGTAACTCATATTTAAATTCCCAAAAACCTATCATATGGGCAAAGAAAGCTTATAGCAATGGGGTGCAGCGGTGCATGCCTGTAATACATACGACTTCAAGACTGAAGCAGGAGGATCACAAGTTCAAGGCAAACCTCAGTAACTTAGCAAGACCCTAACCAACTTAGCAAGACACTGTCTCAAAATTTAAAAAAAACATACAAAGAACTGAGGATGTAGCTTAGTGGTAAAGCACACCCCTGGATTCAATCCCCCTTACCAAAAAAAAAAATCTTATAGTGATACATTGTTCTTTTCTAGTTCTTTCTTTTTTTTGGGGGGGGGGGGGGCAGGGTAACCAGAGATTAAACTCAGGTGCACTCGACCACTGAGCCACATCCCCAGCACTATTTTGTATTTTATTTAGAGACAGGGTGTCAGTGAGTTGCTTACCTCTTCAATTTTCCTGAGGCTGGCTTTGAACTAGCAATTCCCCTGCCTCATGCCTCAGCCTCCTGAGCTGCTGGGATTAGAGGCATGCTCCACCTCCCATCCAAACAACGTAACTCTGCCAGACGCATCCTATGTTCAAAACTTTCCATAGGAATACTAATTAACTATTTCACAGCATCACTCAATTCACATTATAGCTTACTTCATGAAGTCTAAACTCCCCTCCAGAATCTGGCCTTAAATCACTTACCTATTATTATTCTCGTTCAGCTTTCTCACCAAATGAATGATAATGATCACTTTCTGCTCCTGGACCACTCCAGAAATTCTCTTGCTCTTGTTTCTCTCACAGTTGCTTTTCCTGAATTCTTCTCCTTCAAGGTCCAGATCAAATTCTGCTACCTCCAGGACACCTCTGTAAAGAGAAATGATAGGGCTAAGTCAGGAAACATTGCCTCTAGCTATCTGCTATAATTAATACTTCTCTAGATTAAGTAAATTAGTATAATTTAGGTGAAAAGAAGAAACTGCTGCTAATGCTTTATTGAAAGCATGATTTTTGCAAGAAAATTTAGCATAATGGGGAGTTATATTGGCCAAATTAATTATATTGTGTGAATATGTAACAACTAATGAATGAATATGTAACATTAATATGTACAACTACAATGCACCCCAAAAAATGTGGGGGGCATCACAATGGGGTAAGGAGGACTTGTTAAATCATATTAGTTCTCTCTTTGCTAATTACTGCCCTGCTGAACCACTATGAGGGCTGAGTGGGTCCTAGTCCTCAGTTTTATCATAGCAGAAAAAGGACTGCCACTGGTCCTCACTCCATTTGGGAGGTATTTCAAAAAAGGCCTACTTTTTATTTCTGGGATCTGAATTTAACTACTGTGGCTCTCTGCAAAGACCAAACCACTTAACCTCTTTAAGTTCAGATGGAGACTGGAATTCCTACATCCAGCAGTGTGGTACACGCCTGTAAACCCAGCAGATGGAATTCCTACATCCAGCAGTGTGGCACACGCCTGTAAACCCAGCAACTCCCCCTGTAAACCCAGCAACTCCCGAGGCTAAGGCAGGAGGATTGCAAGTTCAAAGCTAGTCTCAGCAACTTAGCGAGACCCAGTCTCAAAAAGGACTTGGGGATGTGGCTCAGTGGTTAAGCGCCACTAGGTTAAATCCCTGGTATTAAAAAAAAAAAAAAAAAACTAAATGTGTTAAGAAATTTAAGAGCCCAGGGTAAGCACTCAACAAATGGGTTCCATGTGTTTAACTGTGTATATTTATATCAGAATATAGCAATATAGCCCGATTTACATCCAACTGGACAAAATTGTTGGGGGAAAGTAGGTTCTATGGGGGGGGGTCCCCGATTTCTTGACAGAACTTCAAAATTATAACTAAACACAAAACCTGAGCAGCAGTTCGTGCTCATGTGCGTCGGTATATTCTTCTATGAAAACACTTCACAGTTTGTATGAGGGTCTGGAACGAGCGCAGAACCCAACACAGGCCGGAAACCTGGAGGACAGTTAAGATTTTTGATTTAGGGGCAGGGAGCTGGGGGAAACCAAGGAAAGGCCTGAGGTCTTTTGAGGGGTAGGAGAGTTTACCAGTGCGAATCTGAGCTTGCTCCCTCCCTCCCGGAGCTCAAACTGGGCAGCAGGCCACAGTTTTATCTCCCCTGCTAGTGACCTTGGACCAGGCATGGCCGGGGGTCTACCTCAACTTACCTCCGGAAATCAGTGGGTCGGGGGCGGAAGCCCGCGGGTCTTCAGCGGAGGGCGGGATGCAGACTTCAATCTCCCCGCGGGGGCGGGCCCAGCGCGCGGGGCGGGGCTGCCGCCGGAGAAAGGCGGGCTCCGCTCCGGGCCCAGCGGGGACGTGGTCCTGCGGCGGGCTTGGGCCAGGCGGGCCGGAGCTGAAGTAAGCTTTGCCGCCAACCTAAATGCGAGCTCCGTCGGGCCGGGGGCGGGGCCGGGGCCGGGGCGGGGCCTGTGGGGGCGGGGCGGGGCCTGTGGGGGCGGGGCCTCCGGCGGGGCGGGCCTAGCTCTCCACTCACCTCTCCTGGCGGCTGGTGGCGGAAGCCTTGCAGTCGCGGAGGGTAGCGGTGTGTGCCGTGTGGCGCTCGCTAGAGCTACGCGGTAAGTGGCGCGCTCGCCCCTTGTCTGCCCTGCGCCGTTTGCCCTCGGCTCACCCGCTTCATCCCCCCCAAGCCCGGCGCCCACCGCCAGGACCTCCTGGTGTCTGCAGCTGCTGCGAGGGGACCGAGGAAATGGGCGGTCTGGGCAGCGGATCCTTTGTTTTGTGACGACTAGGACTGCGGGGGCGAGCAGTGAGGCGGCGGAGGCAGAGACCCTGCCGCGGAGCTGGAGTCTGGGCTGGGTGTGGAGACCCAGGAGATGAGAGGCCGGAGAGCAGAGGCTGGGTCCTAAACGCCAAGCCGAGGGCGCGCGGACGGCCGGAGTCGCCGAGCTTTGTCGGCGGAGGCCGGGCGGGGAGGGGGCTGCGGCCGGGTGGGTAGGCCGTGGGCACTGAGGCCCGGCAGGTGGAGGCAGGACCGAGACGGGAGGAGGCGGGACTCGCCGGCCCTGGCCGGGATCGAGAAGGGAGGAGCGGCCCCGGGAAACTCTGCCCTGGGGGCTGAAAGCCGGCCAGATGCTGACTGGGGCGCTGGTTCTGGGAGCTGATCCTGCCATTATTGCATGAGTGTTTGGAGTTTGCTGTTGTCTAGGACCCGAACCTAGATTTTTCTCAGGTTGACTGTGTGGTTTTAGTTTTTCCGGAGAGCTAATTTTTAAGCATTAACCCCAATTCCTTTTCAGACCTGATGGCTTTCGTCAATCCCCCAGTTCCTTTCTGTGTTTTTATATCCATAGTCAAAGTTACTGTATCAACAGCTTAATCCCTTCAATTCGTGATGAAATAGTGTCACACTTGACACTCTTTTTTCTCAGTGGGTCTGATCTTAAGCCTGACTTGAGCTGCTGCCTGGGGACCCAGAAAGCATACGTCTCACCCACCCACCCACTCCTTCCGCAGTTAGTCACCAAGACTTGTCAACCTCCTTAACGTCTGCCTCCTAAAGATCCGTGCATGCCCCTCCATCTCTAATTTCAACCGCTCTGACTTTGCCAGCCTCCTCTCTGGTCTCCCCACTGTCTCCGGCTTCATTCCTGTTTCTTTGCCCTCAGGGTCAATCTAGTACCCTAATGTGGTTAACAGAAAGCCAAATATTGAGGTCCTGAATACCCTCCTCTGCCGTATCTTTTACCATGTATCCTTTCACTTTCTATACGGTCCTGTGTTCACCTTCATACCTGTTCTCTTCCTGGAACACATTTACATTCCCGTTCTCCTCCCATCATATTTGCTTGCAAGTAGGAACTCCTACTTAGGTTTCTGTTTTAACAGTTGAAGATCAGATCTTCCTATTATGTGTTTCTTTTGCACCAGGCATTTCCTAAGAAGCCTCTGTCATATCCTTTACAGTTTGTATTCTTCTCTACTGGATTATAAGCAAACTCCATGAGGGATTGACTTGATTTAGATTAAACTGAAGTAGTAGAAAGGACAAAGATCCTACCCTTATGCAGATCTTATACAGATATTCACAGGTACAATGGCTCAACAAGGCAAATGCAGGGCTATGTTCATTCCCTAGCAGATAACTTTATCATAACCTACCATAATACAGAATGTATTGTCAAAGACATTTGTTCAACTCATCCTCACAACAACCCTGTGAGGTGCATATATTATAACTAATTTATAGGATGAGCTAGCAAGTCTCAACTTGGGACTTAGGCTTAGGTCATCCGACAATAGAATACCCTTTACCCTCCAATACATTTGCATTCATTAAATAGGTACAAAACAATACTTAAGAATCTAAAAATTCCCACTTTTTTTCTTTTTGATTTTTTAATTATTTTTAGGTACACATGACATCAGTGTGTATTTTAACATATTATATATACATGGTGTACAGCTTATTCTAATTAGGATCCATTTTTGTTCTTCTACATGATGTGGAGTTACACTGATTGTGTATTCATATATGAACATAGGAAAGTTATGTCTCATTCATTCTACCATCTTTCCTATTCCCATCCCCCCACATTTTTTTCTTTAAAGTCCAAATACCACTTATACTCCCTATTTTGGGGGAAGAATTTAAAGAATTACCTAATACTAAGACCAGAATGAATACAGTGTCATTCATGAAAATAAAAATAGCTTTGTAACATTAGAAGGGCAATGAAGCAGTAGGAGATTCTCATAAATTATGTTTGAAAACAATAAACAGCATTTTAATTTCAAATATCAGATAAGATGCCGGTTTCTTAAAATGGCAGGGGGCAAGCCCTTTTCTCAGAAAGCTCAAACATTCAGATTATAACAGGGTTAAGCTTTACATTTCATTTTTAGAGATCATGTGACCATAGCACATTCAAGTGGCTGAGCACATCTTGATAAAGTCTTTCACCACTTAGCACTTATGTTATCTTTCATATTCTATTGGTACAATGAGTTCATGTTTCACCTCTACCATTCTTTTCTAATCCATGTGTTTTAGTTATAATTTGCTAAATAATCCTAAAAAAAGTTTTATTTTTTTCTAGATCAGGCATAATCATTAAAAAGCAAAATACTGTAATAAAACACAAACACACACACAGACACACAAACACACACACACACTACAGGCATTCACTTGTGTTAGGCCCTGGTTTGGGGAAAATAAAATGTAGAACACCATGATAAGTAAAGTCAATCCCTCATGGATTCTTCTCTACAATCTAGTAGGAAAGAATACAAACAACTGTAAAGGATATGACAGATGCTTCTTAGGCAATGCCTGTTGCAAAAGGAACATGTATTAGGAAGACTTGATCTTCAGTTTGTTAAATGAAAACAGAAACCTAAGTAGGAGTTTCTACATATCTGCCCACAGTTGATGTTCAGTAAATTATTATGGTTATCTATATAATTTTTATAAATGGTACTTACGATCCTTCATTCTACATTTATTTCATACAAAATATTTAGGTCTACAGGGGATTTTCTATTTTCTCCTTTTGTGCCTCCAAAAAATATTATCTCAGGACTGAACTTGGGAGAGAAGGAAAAACAGATCCCCTTGCACATGTTGTACCATGTCCTTTCTGACTTGTGGCACAAAATTGGAGGCTCTGAATAGTGGTAACATACTAGTCTTTCTTATTGTGTGGCCCACACCAAAGAAAAGGAAAGTATGGTGCATATGTGCATGTGCTACAACTTAATTTAGTTTATTCTGTATTTAATCTTACTTTCCATTTGTGTGTATGTGTTTTTAATTTAATTACCTTTTAACTATTAAGAGATTGAATTTAGGGCTGGGGATGTGGCTCAAGTGATAGGGTACTAGCCTGGCATGCATGAGGCACTGGGTTCAATCCTCAGCACCACATAAAAATTTTAAAAAGTAAAGATATTGTGTCCACCTAAAACTAAAAAATAAATATTTTAAAAAAGAGAGAGATGAATTTACCAGGCCCAATGATAGTAGCCAGTTTAGTAATTCTTATAATTCCATATAAGTAATTCTTATATGTCCCTGAAGAACTTTAGAGACCAAATAGAAATAGGAAAGAGACCAGATTTAAAATCTCTGGTACATTACAACTGAAATCTTTTCTTATCCAACCTATTGTGACACAGATGTTATTTCTGTTTCACTTACTTAATCTGGAAATGTAACTGCTTTTGAGACTTTGTTATCACTGATAGGTAATAAATGTAACCCTGATATTTTTCAAATTGTTTGATAGAAATACAGTCTTCCCAGAAGTCATATTGGAATGGATTCACCCTTCCTTTGGAGGCAGGTGGGAATGTAGGAAATCTCTCAAAGATTTAGTGAATGCCTAACATGAAACCAGTTATTTTATTTTAGAAGTAAATGACCTCATGGCATCAGAAACATCATAATCTTCATTCCTATTTTCTTCATTATTTAGAATAAGTACTCTACAGTTGCCACTTAATATCTGTGGATTCAACCAACCACAAATCAGAAATATTAGGAGATAGGTTGAGGACAAAGCTCAGTTGGTAGAGTGCTTGCCTTGTATGCATAAGGTCCTAGGTTCAATCCCCAGCAACACACACACACACACACACACACACATGACACAAAATTGCTTCTGTACTGAACATGTAGAGACTTTTTTTCTTGTCATTATTCTCTGACCATCATAGCATTTACATTGTATTAACTATTATAAATAATCTAGAGATGAGCTAAAATATATAGAAGGTATGATAGGTTATATGCAAGTAGTATTCCATTTTATATGAGGGACTTGAGCATCCTTGGATTTTAGTATCCAAGAGAGGTCCTAGAACAGATCACCCACAGATACCGAGGGACAACTGTATATCCTATTTCAGTTCTCAGTAGTCGATTTCTAACTTGTTACTAATGTTCTTTGTCTCAACTTAATTACAGCTTTCAGATTATGGATTTTTATTGCCTTTTTTTTTAATTAACTGGTATTATCACTCCCGTGATTTTTTTTTAAGTCGTGGATGAATCTTTAATTTTATTTATTTATTTATTTATTTATTTATTTATATGTGTTGCTGAGGATGGAACCCAGTGCCTCATATATGCTAGGCAAGTGCTCCACCGCTAAGCCACAACTTCAGCCCTACTCCCATATGATTTTAGCCACCTATAGAATATGGAGTGGGAGTTGGCTCTCTTGGGTCATATCCTTGTATGAATTCTGGCTCTGACACTTTTTAAACTTCTCTAAGTCTCAGTTAACAGAAGCATAAAATGGGATCATTTTGTCTCAGGGTCTTTTTGAGAGGACTGACTAAAAATACATATGGGCCTTTCATCCCAGAGTAGTCTATATTAACCAGAAGTAAAAGGCATTTTAATTGTTGCTTAGGTAAATT